CAGTCGAGCTGCGGGTTCGAGCAACAAAATTTATATTGCGTTTGCAATAATTAATTACACTTGTTAGGTTTTATTCGTTTAATAGCTGATCGTTCCGTGGTGTCTCGCCTTACATCGGTGCCCTTGATCAGGTTGGAAGCGAGCTCCTGTGCGCCAGAATCTGCCCCAGGCACTCCGCCCGCCAGCTACGCAAGCCCAGGATCTTAGTCTGCCCGCCAGAGATTCCGTACAGCACTCCTGATGCTCACCAGGACTAGCGGTTTCCTTGTTCCCAAGGATTGCCCCTAGTACTCCTGTGAGTCAGGATTCGCGTGTCACTCTCTGGCTCAGCACAGACCAAGCCTCGTTTGCTTCGCTTGGTTCCTTGCGGATATCGCCTGTTGCCACAATTCCAGCGTGGCAAGGATATACGTTTCGCACCTGCTTACAGGACCTCGATGTCCTCGTGATCCTTATGTTCTAGTTGAGTCCTTCGATACACAGTGTCCTTGCACTCGTCCTTTGTATCTTGCGACCGACTCACTTTCACTTTGGCACAGATCGATTCTCACTCGCTTATATATTTGCACAGCTTCGCGTGTTTATTTGCACAGCCTCGCGTGTATTTTTGCACAGCTTCGCGTGTTGCTGCGCTCTTTTTATGTTCTGATGGACATGTGTGTCAGACACGTTCAAATGGCTGAACACCTGCGTTAGAGAGAGAGAGAGAGAGAGAGAGAGAGAGAGAGAGGGCGAAAGAGAGAGAATTCGCCGCAACTGTATCAGGGCCGGATTTCGGCCTGATAGACAGTTATTGTGAGGGGCACATATAAAATTGACTACATTCTGATGGGCATTTCGCAAGCACATCCACGAACGTACATATATATATATATATATATATATATTTATGATCATTAACATATACATGCATACTCACACGTGCATGGTTATATGGCTCCTCACAGTGTATATATTTAGTTATAATATATTTATTATAGTTATTTAAGTTTTCAATTTTTTTTTCGTTTAACGTGCAAATCATTCTAGCTGATTTCACTAATGGTAAATGCCGATAAAACAATTTGGAATATATTTTCCACACGAAATAATTTATGTCTGTTAGTCGGAGACGCACTTGCCCACAAAGAATTTTTGGCCGGTGGCAATTAAATTATTTGTTCAATTGAAAAAAAAAATTCCGGCCTAGGGTCGATGTTCATCGCGTCCACATGTTACTTTTCTATACAAGTGACAAACAAAACAAAGTCTATGGGACTCGCACGACCATCCCTTTCGGCAGACAAAAACTCAACAGACGCGATCAGAAAAATTTCTAATCAAATTACCAAAAAAGGCTCGACATTGTACTACTATATCTCATATCGGCTTGGTATTAAAAAAAAAAACCAAAGCATTGTGCTGCGTAGGCGTAAAATTTTATTAACTTAGGCAAGCGCACTACATTTATATGTTGACCAAATGCTAATTTGTAAGTGCTTGCGTTAATGGCTAAATGAAAGCTTGAGCGAAGTGCACAGCTTATGAAACTCAATTACTCATCCCAGTTACGACGGCTTGGGTCCACATATGCCTTGATGACTGAAAGAACGGATCGGTTGACTCTTTCTGAAGGATTAGCCTGAGGAGAATAATATGCTTTATAGGAATGGAAAATGTTGTATCTGTCTATCAAGGAGTTGAAAGACTTAGATTTAAACTGAACTCCGTTGTCAGATACTATTGTTTCGGGTATTCCGAAGCAATGGAAGATATCTTCTTGCAAATAACGTCTGACAGCTCCAGCATTTTCGGCTTCAAAAATGAAAATTTCGACATATGGTCCAGTACAACAGAAATGCCAATATTTCCAGATTTGCTGCATGGATAGAACCGCAGTGGTTGGCCAGTATGTCCCATTTTAGGTTTTAAAGTCTGATGGGGATACTTCGTGGCCTTACAAACCTCGCAAGCATTTATATAATTTTTTACATCTGTTCCCATATTTTGCCAATAATAAAACCTTCTGAGTCTTTCCAAAGTTTTGTTTATTCCACCATGCGCATGCAAGTGATCATCATGAGCAGTTTTAAGGGCAGGCAATATCAGAGGCTGTGGCACCCGAAGTTTCCAGCATACATCATCTGCAACCTTGGAGTCTCGGATCGACGGTAAATAAATTCATTTTCAATCATTAGGTCTGGCAAAATAGACTGGGTTGTGCGAATCTTATTCTTTATGGACTCGTAGTCTGGAGACTTAAATTCTGGTGACTCCAAGTCGACTATTAAGCTATTAAGCACAACAGAAAACAAATCTTCCGCATACGTACGTGAAAGAGAATCGGGGACTATATTTTGGCTGCCCTTTTTGTGCTGTATCTTGAACTTAAGCCCTTGTAATTTAAAGGACCAACGGGTTAGCCGTGAACTAAGATCCACTTGGGTCATGAGCCATTTAAAAGATGCATGATCCGTTATAACAGTAAACTCTTGACCTTCTATATAGGCTAAAACAGTCGCATATCACTCCTTTTCGGTGACCCTATACTGCCTTTGGAATCGACTAAGTTTCCTTGACCTAAATGCAATCGGCACATCGTCACCCTTACAATTGGTCTGTACCAACACAGCTCCAACTCCAGTGTGAGTAGCGTCACAATGTATTGAAAAAGGATCAGCAAAGTTTGGGCTATGCAATATCGGAGTCGAACACATGTGATTCTTTAAGGACTCGAATGCCTGTTGAGCTTCCTCAGTGCATTCAAATTCCCGTTTTGTCTTGAGAGAGAGACAAGGTTAGTCGATATTGATCGCTTTGTTGACCCACTGTTTGCGTACACCCCTCTACGTGCGTGATAGTTTTTTGAAATGCTTACACTGCAATTTCTACAACTAGGTTTGTAAGTATCTGTTTTTCCGCAGACATAACAAAATACTCTGCGCTCTGCCACACATTCTTGGTATCGGTGACCTTTTCAGCGCAATTCCAGCATGACAAATCTACCGCCGACAAGTCATACTCAATATTGGATGAAGTTTCTTCGTCAGAGGCCATCTCAGATTTGGTTTCGGAAATGGCATTCATTAGACATCGAGGAACAACTGATTGCTTTGCTTTTAAAACCGATTGCATGAAGATTTGTCGAGTCCGAACTAGGTGACGCAAATTCTTCATCGAGTTAGTACGCTCATATCAGATCTCATGCTGAATTTCAGCCAACAGGTTGGCTTTAAGGTTTCTACCAAAGACTTTTCAGACATGGGCTCGGACATTCCGTCCGGTCATCCTTAAATTGACCACGAAGGGCAACGCACAAGTCTGGCCAATAAACTTCCGGGACACTTTAATGGTAGCGCCAGTACAATGCGCTAACACTCCCATCAAACAAGTTACTGGCATATCTGGCCGTCAACTCTAAATTGCCATCCAATGATTGTTTTGTTAAAGCTTCTACGCGATATAAAAAATCTTCTATGGACATAGTGCCCTTGCCGGTAAACCTAATTTTCCAATTGGCCATTATCTGACTTACCCGATGTGGGCGAATGTCAGAACCTAATCTTCCATTAACAGGTGTTAGAATAAAGAGAGTTTTCGAAATGTGGTGCCTGATTGGGTGTAGAATCATTCCTTGCTGTCGGGTTTTGAGCGAAGCCCGAGGTCGGTGCCATTGTCGAGGGTAAACGAAGAGATTACTCTACCGTTTGATTTTGTACTTCGGACAGAGGCCGCACGTGAGAAGGATTTACATTCGCTGGGTTGGTAGTTGGACTAATTCTAAGACCTTCTCAAAAGGGCTTGGACCAACCTGTTCGTTTGGTCGGCCAAACTGGTAGCAATGAGTCGGGTTTGCTCAACCATAGCCACTCTTATAGTTTCGGTCATCGATTGTTGTATCGATTCCATGTTTGGTACCTCTTGCTGTATAGTTGTTGAGCCCTGTGACAAATTAATATCTTCAGAGTTGCGAATTTCGACTTGATCGCGATTTGTAACCCGTTTCGCTTGTGCTCTGGTCTGATGGGACTGAAATGTTGAGGGCCTTCTTGAATTTGACGTAGAGGGTCCCGTGGGACTATGATTCTCAGTTGTAGCCGAATTTAGGCGTGTCAGGCTCTGATTGAAACTGGGCACACTTACTTTTTGCCGGCTTTGGTATTGAAGCACGGTCTATGAAAGTAATGTCCGCAAGAGGTTGCTAATAACTGACCCTGGAAAACTATTATTTCAGAACAAATGCAACAATGTTTGCTTGTGTTACTAGTTCGAGTCAGATCTTCTGTACTATGAGACAGAACAGAAATGAATTGCGAAAATTTGGTTAACTAAATCTAGTCAATCACTCTTTAATTTATACATCTAATTTTTATTGAGAAGAAGCAAAAGAAAATTGAAGATAACAAAATTGTTCGTAATCACGATATCGATAATAATATGGGAGTCATGCAACTGATTGTAAACTAGAATAGAATTTCCTTTAGTTACAGGAACAGGAAGGAAATTATAAGGAGAACCAGATAACTATATGTCATTTCGCAGCAGATTGCGCTTAGAAAGTTGCTTAATCCTCGTCCAGCCAAATTCCTTAAGGTTTCTGAAAAGGAATTTTAGGCAAAAGGGGAACTCGGTATCTGCATAAAACAGTCGTACCGGTGTGTTGAACTTATCCAAAGTAAAATTAAAGGGGATGACTGCAGCCAATCCAATAAACAACATATAAAACCTTCGGAGTAATAAGTAAACAAGGAGTAAAAGGTATAAACTATTATTTGACAACGGAGTTTGTAGTGGTGTACTTATATGCACATTAATATTAACCAAAAAAAAATAAAAAAATTAAAACAATTCGCACTGGTAACGTTTTTTGGGATGCGACTGTAACAACGATCAGCCTGTAAGCACACATGTAAACAGCTGATCGATAATAATGCGTTGGCCGAACCATTCACAGCTTTTTGTGACCTAATTAGCAACTCTAATCGGTGACCTAAATAGCAACTCTGACTCAGAGCATCTGTGCGTAGCGAAGCCCACACAGTTGGTTACGGCCAATGCATTTATTTTCTGCAATTGACGACGTGTGCAACAATATTCTTATTGAAAAATAACTTGGTGGCATCGTCATATTAAAGCTCGTTTTATTGATATTAAATCTTCTCGAAACGTGACGTCTGCCATAAGAAAAATGTGCCAGGGCAGCTACACCAATGGTTCAATTTGTGATCACTTACAGTGTCCCAGTGCCCTTGAAGCTGCACAGTTGACCAGTTCAAGCGCGACCAGCGTATTGCTGCTGTTAACAATTAACTTGCTGTTAATTTGTTGGGTGTGAAATACGGGGAATACATCAGTACAGTGCTCACGTGCAGCGGTACCAGCCCTTTAAGGCGGATCAGCGCCGAAATCTCGGACGCAAATGTAACATCTGATTGGCATAAAGTGCACCAACTGGTGCAAGTATCGGATCATATGTGAGCGGCGGTTGACAAAATTTCGATTATTTAGGACTGAACTCTACAGGGCTACACAACTCTACGTTTTATTAAACTTTAGTTTAAATTAACATAGAATGAATTTGTGAGGAATTAATATTTAATTTTATAATGCATTAACTAAACTTGGTATGGTATGTATATGTGATATCAGCTGTTATATTGTCTAATCCGTTTTGAAGTTCAAACAGCAACGTCATCCGTCTTCAGGCCTGTCGACTAAAATGGACTACTAATACAACTGTTTTGGTGCTGTAAGTACGGCGTAACCGCACCCAGAGATTGTAAGTTATAAAGAAAATAACTAACTAATGATGACCATATAATAGATGTGGCATACAAAGACATATGTAAGTACCTGCCTGATTTAGTTAACTCAAATTACATACATATATATATATATAGCCAAGGGCCATTGTAGCATAAGTTTATTATTAAATATTATTATATCCAAATTGAAGAAAAAGAAATTGAATGAATTATTAGTCATTAACTAACCCTCCCAAAGGTCGGCAAAATTCTTCAACTGAACCCTCCACGAGGGTGCCGACTGAACTGTCTCTATAGTCTTGTCCATGGGAAAGGATGGAGTCATGGTTCGAGGTAATGGGCCGGACTTAGGTATAATGCGACCCGTGCTGATAGTCAGCAAGGCTGGGGGCCCTAAAAATAGCCCAGTCTTTTACAGAGCATATCGGATACCTCCGGTATTAATCAGCCTTACCTGCACATCGTGGATCTCTGTGTAGGCGGACATTCCTTTCTCCGCAGCTCGTGGGAATCAAAAATGCATTCCAATTCAATTAAAAAAATTCAAAAGAGTCCGGTACTCTTACAAAACCGGCAGGGAGCAATCCCAGACATGTAGCGGAGGCAGTGGCTCGTAAGCCTGGCCAAACCGGTAACACGACAAAAGTGGCGGAAAAGCCTGTTTGTCAAGTCAGTGGTGAGGGTGCAGTTGGTAAGAACCCCGACCCATCCGACTCTGTGGTAGGTAGGCAAAGCACTTGTGCAGCCAACCTGCCAGCCGGAGCGGATGCAAAGGGCGAAAAACCAACTACCAGCGCTGCGGCTAAGAGGCTGCCGACCGATGAAATGCCGCAAGCATTCTAAAGCGGCAGAATGCAAGCACAGTGTACAACCCACCAGCCGAATGGCAAAATAAGGTCGTGTGGGCCAGGAAGGTGCTGCCAAACTTCTGTTAAGCTCCACCCAACAAAGAGCAGAGCCAGGCAAAAAGGCAACGCTCCCAAGAAACTCACGGACCCATTGCAAAGCGGGCCAAGGTGCAGCAGGGAATGTCTTTTGCTGTCATTGCCAAGGAGTGAATCCTAATTGGGATCCTTGACAAGGGAAACAAGGACGGCGGAATGCAGAAGGAGCCCTCGCTGTTCACTGCCTGAAACTATTGAGCAAGGCGCCTGGGCCACCACCGGTATGTAGAGATGCCGGGTGGTACCAGGGTAACACAAAGGTCATTGCCTGCCAGGATGCTCGCTCGGTAGAGCTTTACAAAGCTGCCGTAGCAGAGATTGGCGAGGTCTACCCTGGGGCGAAGCCTCACGCATCTGGATCCCGGCCTCTTTAAAGGAACCGGACCAGATGCTAAACCTATTGCAACCCCTCTCTTCCCACCCATGATTGAATGGTGGTGAAGATTGAGGCCACCGATGGTCCAACCAACCAGGCAGTGCTGATCCTAAACAAGCAATCGCTAGCACTCATCGAAGCCGCCAAGGGCGAGCTCAATTTCGGCTTTGGCTCCATTACCGTTAAGGTATATAAGTCGGATGCGCCGGCCGGAGGAGACCCTGTTGTCTGTAACAAGACGGCTGAACAGGGCCCTCCTGCGGAGATCGGAGCAACGGATGAGGAGCTGGAGCCCGGTTGCACGTCGGACACGTCGACTCTCACTCGGGGCCTTGAGGCCTTGTATCACGAGTTAGACGAGGATGACTTTACGCTGTCGAACGAGGACGACAGCAACAACACGGTGATGTCTCCAGATGTCCTTGAGACTACGGCAGATAAACCGTCACCACAGTAAAGCAGAATCCGTTGCTCTGATGCTCCGCCTGGCTGGAGGCGGAGACGACATAATACTATTCCAAGAACCTTGGGTGATTGGAGGAAAGGTTTGCGGACTAGGTAATAAAGATTATAAGCTTTTAGTAGCTGGAAATGAAGGTACAAAACGCACCTGCATCCTCGCGAAAAAACATCTAAGTATTTTTCTGCTTCATAATTTTAGCAATGCCAACAACACAGCGGTAAGCCTGGAGCTCCAGTAAGGCTATTGTCTGCCTATATGCCCGCCACCAGACGAGATAACAAGATCCCTCGTCCAGGAGTGCGAGAAGCACAGGATCGGCCTAGTTATAGGCTGCGACGCCAATGCTCACCACACTCAGTGGGAGAGCACGGACACAAATCCGAGGGGTAAGTCACTCTTATCCTTCATCCTTAATACTAACCTTCTAGTATATAACACGGGAAATGAACCCACCTTCATTATTAAAAATAGAAGAGAGGTCATTGATCTGTCCGTCATTTCACAATCTATGAGTGACCAGCTAACAAGTTGGAGAGTGTCTGATGACCACTCCTTCTCTGATCACAGGTACATAGAATTCGAGCTTCTCGCGAGTCATCCAGAACCAGTTCACTTCATAAATCAAAAGAAGGTAAACTGGGAAATCTTCAAAGCCAAACTTGAACGAACCGTTTCGGAACACTCACCAAAAGATCCGAACAACTTAGCTCATCTCTGCCATCTCACAGAAACTTTCACTATAGTATGTAATAAGGCTTTTAAGGCAACCTGCTCTATCAGTATGCCAGTGCACAAGAAGAAACCAACATGGTGGACACCTCAACTAAATTTCCTTCGACAAAGTTGCAGGTCTCTCTTCAATGCGGAGAAAACGCAAAATAACGACCTGCAATGGTCTGAATACAAGTCAAGTCTGGCTGAATACAAAAAAGCCACCAGACGGGAAAAAAGGAAATCTTGGAAAGATTTCAGCACAGATATTGATTCAACTACTGAAGCTACAAGGCTTAGAAAAGTTTTATCAAAAACCACACCCACACTTGGTTATCTGAAAAAGGATGACAACTCTTGGGCGGTCTCCAGTGAAGAGTCACTGGAAATCCTCCTTAAAACACACTTCCCTGGCTGCTCCGAGCAGTCCCCGAGGTGCGCAGAAACCAACTGTATAGAGAGCGCATCTTTAAAGTCTCTTATATACAAAGGTAACATCAAGTGGGCAGTGAACAGCTTCGAGCCGTTCAAAATAATTTTCATACCCAAAGCTGGGAAGCCATCGCACACCAGCGCCAAAGATTTCAAACCCATCAGTCTGTCATCTTTCATGCTAAAGACTCTGGAACGACTCATAAGTCTCCATCTCACAGCATCCATTGACCACAGGCTTATGTCGGAGTCCCAACATGCCTACAGGAAGGGTAGATCCACGAATACTGCCCTTCACTCTGTGGTCTCTATTATAGAGAAATCTTTACTTCATAAAGTACACCCTAATAGCGTTTCTCGACATTGAGGGCGCCTTTTACAACGTCACTCCGGCAGCCATAACTGGAGCTCTGCTGAACCTGGGGATTGACACCGGTCTGGAGGGATTGAACAGTCAATTGCTCACTTGCAGGACTGTGATATCCACACTAGGGTCGTCAACTCTCTCCAGGTTCGTAAGCAGAGGTACGCCACAAGGAGGCGTCCTGTCACCCATAATATGGAACATAGCCAGTAACAAATTGCAGCGGGACATGGGGCGGCTGCCAGACGGTTTCATACACAGATGACGTTACGGTAATTGTCTGGGGAAAATATCCGCAAACTCTCTGTGACCTCATGACTAGTAAACTAAAAATACTGTCATGCTGGGCACAAGAGATTAGGATTAGGGTAAACCCAAATAAAACGGAACTAGTTCTTTTTTGCAAGAAATTGCAAAGTCCCTTCTCTTGGTGGCCCAGTCTTAAAAAGAAAACCACCCCTATTAAACTAAACAAAGTTCAGCATATGGCTAAATTATGCATATCAGGAGCGCTTCATACCACACCTAGTGAGGCACTTGACGCTGTCTTGGACATTCCATGTCTGGAAAGAGAAGGAATGAAAAATGCAACACTCACGGCCATAAGACTCAGAGAATCCCTCGCCTGGACTACTCAGAGTACAGGCCATGCCTCTATCCTAGAAGGGAAGCCAACCATTCCTTCAAAAACAGATTACTACGTGCCAGTAACACAACTGGGAACACCCTTCAATACATACTTCCGGCAACCATAACCTTCTTTACAGATGGCTCCAAGCTAGACAACCGCGTAGGCGGAGGGGTCTACTCCGAGCAGTTCAACATACAGTTATCCATCTGCCTTCGAACACACTGCAGTGTGTTTCAAGCTGAAGTATTGGCCATAAAAGAAGCAATAGACCCCCTAGAAAGGCTCAAAGTTATCCCTGGCAATATAAATATCTATATTGACAGTCAAGCAGCAATTAAATCCATCAGCTCGATATCTTCTAATTCGATATCAGTAACAAGCTGTCGCAAATCTCTATATGAGATGGCTAAACAGCATGTTATTAGCCTCATATGGGTTCCTGGTCACCAGGACAATGAAGGCAACTGCGAAGCCGATGAGGTAGCTAGGAAAGGTACTATGATGAGTTGCTAGGAAAGGTACTATACTACCACTCCTCGCGGACAAAGAAGGTATAAGTGTGCCTCTAGCTACCTGTAAGCTCAACATCAAGGAGGAGTATAGGCGCAGGTCATGAATAAAGTGCCCGCATAGCACACCAGACATGGCCAATCATCAGCTCCAAGCGCAGCAAAGAGCTGTGCAGTCTAAGTCGGACCAACTGTTCTGCAGTGATCCGGGCTCTAACGGGGCACTGGCTGGTCGGCATTCATGCCAACAGACTCCAGGTGCCATACAATGACTTTTGCAGAAGCTGCAAAGAGGAGGAAGAGGTGGAATCTCCGGAACACTTCTTCTGCCTTTGCCCCGCACTTGCCAGGAAAAGGCTGGTAATACTGGGAAACTACTCCCTAACTGGTTTATCGGAGCTCCGACATATGAGACCGGCCAAGATAGTGAAATTCATTAACGCATCTGGCTGGGCACATGTTTGACTTGTTAGAATGCTTTGGAGGCACGACTGCAGGAGAAAATCATTTGATCTCATTCGGTAACACAAGGGGCTAATATTGCCTAAGTGTGTCAACCCATCTGGCTGACAGCCGATATAATCTAACCTAACCAAAGCCTCTTATATCATAATATTGTAATTCAAATCTATTAACAGCAGTAAAATTTTCTCAGAACTTCCTTTTGTTGCAAGCAAATATCGTTGGAAAAGGCAACTCCTCTGCATCAATCATTTGAAGGGGTCGTTGACATTCCTCGTTAGTTACAAAGAATGTCACTCAGTTTCGTGCAATTGAGAGAGAGACGACATTATTCGATCATTAATAGAAATACTATGCTTTATTATTATAATAAATAATGGTATTAATGATTTTAGAAGGTCTAATAGTTTCAGCCTCGAAATCATGGTTATATTCCATTCTACATTTGAGGTGGAGCTGAACTACCTAGGATTAATGAAAAGCTTTCGGAATAGACATTAGCGGTGGGAGTTAGGACATTTACAATAGCTCCTTATATTATAATTTGACGTTCATGTCCAAATGGCTTGATTCTCATAAATGGAAGACACAGAGAAATTAGGCTTCTCTCTTAAGATGTCAAATCCTTTAGACATGTTGGAAAGTTGGGAAAATCGAAGCCATAAAATATGAAATTTTTCTTCTCTAATAATAATTAAAATACGCAGATCAAGTTCTTGTCGACGTTAGGATTAAGCCAATCTATTGCGAGCCTGTTCGTGACTTTGTTTGGCTTGCCGAATTGTGAATTCGTAAACCTCCGTGCATGATCAATCGTATTTTGCCTGCCTTCAATTTTCCAAATTTCAGCATTAAATCTTTCATTTGCCCTCCGAGAACTGTCCACCACAATCTGCTTCTTGATTATGCGCGCTTCAGTTGAAGCGAATCGCCTATTTTTTAATTAATTAATTAAATCACCGACTGTATCGTTTATATTGAGTTAAGAATTTGCATTCACCGCGTCGATTTTCATTACGATTTTTTGAAAGTCCATGTCGTTCTCATCAGTTTCAGTTTTAATCTTATGGAAAGTACCACCATTGCGATTAAACAATGTTTCCGTATGTAGACGTAGCTCGTCTCCAATAACAAGCTTAACATCCATGTTGCCACCACCTGAAAGTTTAAGCCATAACCATTTTTTCATCAACACACACAGTATGCTCAAACTGTACATTGGCTTTATCTTATTTAAATTACGATCGTTTCTAAAACTGACTAAACACCCGTTACTGTCTTTTAATTTTAGCGCACATACTTCATTATACAGATCATAGCGCCGCACATTACATTTACTGCCAGTATCAAACAATGCTAAGCACTTCATGTCACTTAAGAGAACTTCATTTGATGTTAACCCAATGTTATTAATCACAACGCGCATTTTTGATTTTTCTTCGATTTTTCAACTTTTTCTGTGCGATATTTTGATCATGTCCGTTGCTTCTCGTTCATCATTGATACTCCGCCTAGTGTGTTTTCTTCAATGGTGTCCGCTCCTAACTCTTCGTTCTGTGTTCGCGTCCTTCGTTTTCTTCATCGCTACCTTGTTCATTGTCACTGCCTTCCTCATCGTGACTGCCTTCGTCTTCGTAACTGTGTTACAGCAGTTGTCCGGCATGTAAATTACGAAAAATATGTAACACCATATTATCAGCTTATGCATATTTTGAACTTATGCCCAATATACAGCACTAGTTTTCTTAAGTATTTTGCGTCATTTTCGTCATAGCTAAAACCACTGAACTCGCGCAACCGCTTTCTATTCGCTCTGTGTCCTTCTGCCTCGAATATGAATTTGGAGAAATGCGCATATGCTTGACTTCTGTGTAGATCGCAAACTTTTTGCAATTAAGTAATTTAAATTTGCCATCTTTACTTCAGTTAACCTATTTCAGTTAATCACACTGTTGAATAATTTCGTAGTTTTCGATTTAAATCTTTTGTCGTTTTAAATTTAAGTTTATCGTCGATTCTTTTTATTTAACTTTTTCACCGTTTTTTAATTTCACTCATTCGTTCTTTTTTAAATTTCAATATCTTCAGCACTTCCGGATGAGCAACCAAATACATTCCGCGAAATTCGATTAAAAGCACTCGTATTTAGGGTGCTAAAAACTGTACCAAGCCTCACGGGACTTTGTTTACACATTTTGTAACGGCGCTTTTTCTTCTTACACTGTTATAATGCGTTGGAATGAAAGTTCCGTTAGTTTTCTCCAAGATTTGTGCATATTTGTGTTTTTTGAGTTAGTTTGGGGGCGAAATTCGATTAACGGCAGTCACTTTCAAACCTTGTAATGGTCGCCGTTGGAAGGATTGCTGAACTGATAAAATTTAAATTATACCGCCTTTTCTTTGTTCGATAATATCGATCGATGATAAAATTTGAGTCAGTTTCGTAGCACCCAGCCTTCAGAGACCTTAATTGAAATGTTGCAGAGCTCGATCAATTGGCTCTTCCGAGGGAAGAAGCAGAAATGCAAAATTCGAAAAAGAAAAGCTTTTTTTTCGTTGTTGTTTGCTGCTTATAAAAGAGCTGGCGGAGGCAGGCTGCAGCCTTTTTCGCCTGGTGGTTTTATCCAAGAAGTCTGCTCCCTCCACGTCTGTTAGCTCGATGGCTAAGCGTTAGAGGTTAAATCCGCGCGCCTCCAATTATTCAGAGATTTTTCATATTTTGGGCAGAAAGGCCTGGCCGCGACCACCACCAAAAGAAAAAGTGAGACAACTCCATTTTGGAGGCCATCGCGGCAGCGATCATACAAGTTTTGCCTTGTAAAAATTTATAAGGTATGTGCCGCAGTTGCCTCAATTGCCGTGTATTATTCTAAAGTTCAAATCCCCTTCTTAGCACTTTGGCCTAAAATTCCAATCAACGTTTACGCAAAGTTTTGAGCTGCAGCTTTGGATTTTGATTTCTGCACCGCAGCTGACATCAGTGCATCACAACCAACCCGCCGCAGAAACCGGCGCTCCTAATTTTTCTGTGCCAAGTGCGTTCGAAATTTTTTTGCTGTGCTCATAAACCAGAAGTAATTTGAACCTGCAAATTACGTAGAAGTGCCCATCAAAGATTAAAAAATATAATAAAATATAATAGAAAAAAAAAACAAAAAAATAAAATAAATAATAAATAAATGAAAAAAAGTTTTACCAGTAACTACATTCTGTGCCTCTACAATACATCCAACAACCACACCAACATTCTTTTAAGCGTGTGCAGCACGAACATCTGTTTATTGCAAGCTTCGCACACTGACCTGCGAAGTACAGTGGCTGCGATGTTGGTTCACCCACTTGTAATATTTTTTTGTAAATAATTAAAATTAAAAGTGTAATAGATTTCCTTGCAGTTTGTATTAATTTCTAAAACTCAAGTTTTTCTTAGATTTTGCCATTAATTAAATTAATTATTACGTTTTTTAAATTAAATTGTTATAGGGCTTAATTTTCAATTAAATTGTTTTAACTTTGTAAAAATTTCATAAATTTTGAAATTAATTTTTTTAGTTAAAATTTTGTAAATTTAAAATTTTTAATTATTAATTTTATTAAATTAATTTTTCTTAATTAACCTTTTTTTTTTAAATTCCAAATTATGGATTTTTAGAATTCAACTTTTTTTTCTTAATTAAATTCTTCTTATTGTTAATTAATCTGTAAGTCACTTTTATCTTATAAATTTAATAACTCACATTATGTGGCTAACACTAGGTGCCCGTAATGATGATGAATGAAAATGAATAAACCCGAAGAGAAATAATCATGAAGTGCTAAAATCGTTACGTTCCTGGGAGGCATGGTAGTATAATGAGTTAGGACAAGTTTTTTTATAGGGGATCAACGACTAACTGCGCTTCGATGATCATGGTTGGGTTAGGGTATAGAACGCGAGAGTCGACTACCACCTCAGACCTCGCCCCTTTCAGGGCACCCTGAACAGATGTCAGCCCACTATAAAGGGAATTGGTCTAGTCCATTAATTGTTTGTGGGATTTGTAAACCCAAACGAACTCTTTGAGGGGTATCGTCTCCCCATGTAGTTTAGATGTAGATGGAATCCCAAAAAAATTAAAACTATGTTGTCCCTACTGAGACTCAGCAATTATCCACCCCATCCCGAAAGAGCTACGGTCCAGAGGATTCCGCCCGCTCTATCCCTCAGTAGAAATAACCGTTCTCCCGATAAGAAGAAAAAAAAACAAAAAGAAAGTGTGCCACTCGGACGTACCCGAATACCAAATTTGGCAAGGTATACTCTCGAACTGTCCAGTATATATATACCTTCGTTAAAAGAAGTAGAGCGTTGTATGGAATTTCTTTGAATGGGATAATAAAGTGTACATATTTATTTAATCGGAAAGGAAAAAACACTCTCACCTGAGGAGATAGCTAAGATCATTGCTTTCAATGATACTGGAATGAACAACAGACAAATATAAATAAAATTATGTCGATTGGCATCAGCAATCGATGACATGTTAAAATTAAATGAAAACTACAACAAATAATGTTAAAAAACCAAGATCAAAAATTTATCACACAGACAGAAATCTGCAATCTTATAGGCTGGACTGGATAAAATTGCTACGGCACTTAAAATTATATTTGACTTAAGGTTATAAATATCGAAACATAGGGTTCAACAAATTTTTTCAGATAATTGGCGATTGGTTTGGAAGAAAATGGGGTCAACGCCAGTATTAACAAAGGCACACCACATAGGCAGATTAAATGTTGCAAGAGAACACATTTCGTGGACGCAGGAGTGGCAAAATATGGTATGTTCTAATAAGTAAAAATTTAATTTCGATGGTTTATAGAGTTCAAATTATTCCTGGCACGATTTAAAGAAGTCTGTGAGATATTTCCCTACTCGAAGCTGCGGCGGTGCTGCACTCATAATCTGCAATCAGTTATAACAACAAGACCCTGATTTGTGAAATTGCAGGCCGCATGAGCCCGGAGGATTATATAAACCTGTTGGACTAAGTTTTGCCAAGCTTTATGGAGAATCAACCAGACCCAAATGTCTTATTCCAGCAAGATTATACTGCTATAAGGACCTTAAACTTTTAGAGGGAACATGTGGTGCCACCTGTTCCATCGAGCTTAAGTGGGAAATCTACAGTTTGAGACAGTTGAGTAGCTACGAAGGCTGTCGATAAGGAGTTCTATCAAGTAAGAGTACTGTAGTCGAGTGGCTCGACTACGATTTACCCTGAACCCAGTCGTTAAATATATTTTAGTTTTATTGGAAAATTTCCCGTTAAAAGATTTGCACCAATGTGTTAGCAGGTCTGCAAGTGCGCTCTGCCGACAAACACGCGAATATTTACACATACATGCATATATACACACATATATATATATATACATACATACATATTGTACATATTGCAATTGTAGGTAACGGGGGTCCGCAGAACGGTCGCGTCGATTATCATGCCGTCTCTTTCTTACACATGTGCTGACATATTTATGCATACAGAAAATGTTTGCGGCTACTGATGGAAACGGGATCAATATGAGAATATATTTTCTACTATAACAGTTGATCAGTAATGTGCGGATGCATATTATGTTTTAATTAGATTATATCTTCAAAATTGTAGCATTTATTGCTGTCGGAAATTAAAAATGTATCGATATACGATAAACGGAGGCAGTTGTCGATAAAATATAGCAAGCTTGTTATGCGCCGGATATACAAGGACCTATATTTCGGACGGATGAACAGACGGACATGGCTATATCGACTCGGCTGTTGACCCTGATCAAGAATATATATACTTTATGGGGTCGGAGATACTTCGTTCAGCCTGTTACACACATTTGCACAAAACCATTATATCCTTTTTAACCATTTTGAATGGGTTCAGGGCATAAAAAGTAGTTGAGTCGATGTCAAATCGCATGTTTTTAGTAATACACAAATCTGAAGTTTAATTTGTTATTTTCAAGTCATTTCTACATATTATATTAATTTTATTCGAACTGCCCTTAATAGCATTTGTTATGGTCAGTACTTAAAAAAATATAGAGTTGCAGCGCTAATCGTTTGCGACAAATTTGTCGCCTGCGCTGTAACGGACGAATAGTACGCAAAGCAGTGCATCTGAGCACGCAAAAAGCTGAGCTTAAAAAAAAATAAATGAAACTTTTACGCAAACGGAGCATGCTCAAGGTTAGCAATGATCGCTCAAGGGAGCTTTCGAAACGCAGCCAACTTTGTTGTCTCCGCTTGCATCCGGCGGCTTGAGCGAGCACAACCGGGTATAAAAGGGAGCTGATCTCAGCTAAAGCCCTCCTCCTTTTTAAAATTATTGCAACGTGCGGATGCAAATAGAAAGTAAAACGTCGGTCGGCGAAAATTTATATATAGCACGTGGCGGCTGAACAATAAATAAAATAAATTAAAATCGTGCCGAATTCTTTTTTTTTTTTTATGTAGCCTTTATATTTTAAACATTAATCAACCTATTCAAAGGCTATAAAACATTGATTTGTAACAGAATGAATAATAACAGTGAATTACAATCTATAACATAAACATGGGACAGGTTTTAGCAGTTAATAAATAACATCAAAAATTACATTTAGGGCACATTTATTTAACGCCCTACAGTCCAGAGGTCGCTGGTGTGAAGGCGCTTCAACCTCCTGCGTGTTGTATTCGACCCAAGTGAGCAGGCCAAAGGGTTGACATGGTTGCGTAAACGGTCATTGTACCGACTTGTATGTCTGTTAATTTGTTGACTGACTGTCAGCAATCCGAAGTCGTTGTGCAGCGTTCTGTTGCTCACATATGGTGGAGCACCAGAGATGTCTCTGAGCACCTTGTTCTGCAAGACTTGAATTTGATTAATCCAAGATTTTGCAGCTGTGCCCCAGAATGGAATTCCATATGTCCATGTAGGCAAGATGATGCTCCTGT